GTGTGTGTGTGTGTGTGTGTGTGTGTGTGTGTGTGTGTGTGTGTGTGTGTGTGTGTGTGTGTGAAGATACTGGACAAGATACTACAAATTTGGTGATTCTGGAAAAAAAAGATTGTGGTTAAAGGAAGGGTGAAATGCTTTAACCAATTTTGGATGAAGTGGAAAATAGAGTCTAATAAAAACAACAGAAATAATTTTCTGAGCAGATGAAAGCTGACTTTTTGTTGCAAAATGATCAAATGATACACCCACAGCGGTAAAATGCAAAACGAAACGCAAATATTTCCGCACACTGCATACTTTTCATTCTCAAGCTTTAAATAGCTGGTACTTTGCTGGTAATACTTTTTCTTAAGTACTGGAGTATTTCGTTGTTTGTTATCTGTACTTTTACTTAAGTAAAGGATCTGTATACGTCACACAAAACTACACGTTAATTAATACATCTTTGGCGAAGCCTGCGGTGCAAATGAAACCAAGGAGCAGAACAGTCATTTCGCATCATGCAAACTGTATTGTATTAGATTGTACAGGTGTACCTATTAGCCGAGTTCCCTCATGGCATAATAATCAGAATCTACGATGATGCCAAATGCAGCGGAATAAAAAGTACATTCACCGCCAAAAAGAAGCAGAGAAGAAGGAAGATTACCTCAAAATTGTGCAGGATTTAAGTGGTCTACTTTTATTTCCATTGCTGGAAACTCCAGAGCTCCTCAGAGTGTAGAAATCAGCATATTCCAAATTTATGGCACATATTTTAATGTATCAGTGGAACAATGTGCTAAACTCCGAGGATTACATTCACAGACAGCCTGTGGGTATTGCTTGGATGCAGCAGGTGTCCAGATGTACTCCAGCAAACTATCAGGATGTTTCTTTTTCTGTCTAAGCCTACAGAGCTCTACCAGGAATATCACCTCTGCAGTCAGATCTCTCGCGTTAACTTTATTGTGTTATCAAGACGCTAAACGGGCTTTAATCAAACACCAGCTTCAGGGGATACTCCAGGTAAAAGACCCTCCGTGCAGATGCTCTCGTGGGTATTATATGTATTTTATCACCTGATGGAAACATTAATTTCCATTTCGTATAGATCTGAGTGGGGGGAAATGTGGGCATGCATAATAAAACGTAATATGATGGGTTTTCGGACAGTGAAGGAGACAAAATTTGGATCTTTCACAAATTTAAGGTGAAAAACTCAAAACAAACATTTTCTGCACCTGGAACGCACGTTTTTGTGCGTTTTTGTTTTTTGTTCTTTTACCCAGGTGTTAAGCGTTCCTGCCTCATCCATCACAGTTTGGTACACCGTGAGAGGAGACTGTTGAGCATCTTGCGTTTTATGCCTGAAGGAAAACACGAATGAAATTCAATTTACGGTATCAACCAAAGGAAACGTCCAGGACGCATTTACGTATATACATACAATTATAATAAGTAGGCTATAATGGGGATCCAATTCAATCACACACAGCTTTGATATGTAGTCCTGCTTATAGATAAACAATGCTGCACTCCAGAGTGTCTGCACGGAAGGACGCTGATAGATTCAATCACAGTAAACACACATAACCAAGGCTGCTGCCTGCCCTTCATCACATATCACACCCACAGCTCAAAGAGTCTCCGCGCCACTTATCCTTAACTTGTTAAAAAATATTTTAAAGCTGAAGCATCGGTAAATATTCTTCTCTGACAAATACAAGTTTTCTAAGTTAAAAGACGTCACTTTGCTTCATTTAGCAAAAAAAAAAAAAAAAAACTTTGTTAAATTGCTTAATTCAGAACTTCATCGCAGAATAATCACCGCACTGCGTCTATGTGCGGGCTAGTCACAAATAAAGACAATAAAATAGTGATTACATCCTATTAATAGGCCAAGCCATGAGTTCACCCCGTAGAGAGCGAGGACACACACACACAC